ACTTGAGTCATGGTTCACGGGCCCCCAATCCATTAACAAGTGCAACGATTTGTCCAATCCATATCCGGTGCTGAGACTCAATTTGGCCAAAGCAGGTCGCCACTCGGGAACAGACAGGCCACTATATCACCCTATGCCAACACCGCAGGGCCAGATGGTCATTGCTGACGCAACGACTCAGCGAACACTCAAGGCATTTACCAAATTTTTTCTGTACGTTTAAATTTAACGGCAAAACCCTGTGTTACTGTTCTGTGAGTAGGTATCTGATGATAAATCAGCGACGGCTTTCGAAACGTCAGGCGAATAAAAATATTGGCCCAGCGATCGAGTCGTCTTCTACTTTTCTATTCACAAGTGTCCACAAATTCAAAATCACCCAATTAACTCGCGAGGTTAACGCCGACTAGCTGACACCTAGATCACACATACTGACTTAGACACCGAATGCGCGCCGAGGGTTATGACAACCACTGGGCTTCCGACAATTATCAATCTCACAAAATATTAACTGAAAAGTGCTGTTTTCGGTACCATAGATAGCGTACTATAGTTGTAGTATGGTTGAGTGTAATCTCACAATACTTTAGACATATTAGACTACAGGCTTTAGATTGAATGCCTGCAAACAGCGTAATTGGAATAAAAGGACCACTTAAGTGCTATTATTTCCTGTCCACTTACGAGTCAAACTATATCTGATCAAAAACCTCAGCAAAATATTCCTTCTTGCATCCATTTGGTTGGTATTCACATGTTTCGGAAATGTACCCCTCAACAGTGAATTTAATTTGGGTTTCAAAAACGTTTTCGAGGTGACCATACTGGTGCTTCTAGGAAAGCCTTGATGTCAACCCATCCCTTACCCCAACAAAAAACTGAAACAATAAATCAAAATACCCACAAGGAAATGTTTTTATTGATGGCGCAGCCTTCACCTTGCACGGTTACAGCAAAACTTACCGGATGAATGCGGAAAAACCTGACAGGAGCGATTGAAACGATCATCTCATTTCAATAAATGACGTCCACAACTACCTAGCTTTTAATCACTACTTTTCAGCAGTTGCCTGCTGGATACATGAGCCAACACTTTTAAGTACAGCTCTGAGAGTACAATGTACTGTCTGCTGCTCCGGCTTCGGTGTTACTGCCCATGAGGCAATAGGTCAGGAGGAAACCCGCTCCCTATGGAGCACGCCGTGGCGAATTAATTATCCAACAAAGTGTTCTTTTAAGTCTCAAGAGGCCACCGGTGTACCGGTGTACTTCAATGAGCATCTACCTCGTGCAGGCAGAGGACCTTTCGACCAATGAGAAAAAAGTGGCTGTTGTACTATTCTGCTGAATTACTTTTAACTGCATTTGACTCCGTCGTAAAAAGTATAACGATGGGTCTCTTAAAGGCCCGTAAGGGGCAGCGCATAAAGTACAGATCTTGCAGGAACTAAGCTACCCACCAACGCCTGCTAAGTAATCAGAGCAAAATTTGCGTTTCTAAACCCAAACAGAAGGCAATCTTAAGAGAGCGGTCATCCTGTGGAATAGATTTACCTTGAAGTACAGAAAAACGCCAAACTGTGCCCTATTCAATCTGCATCTTCCTATTTTCGCATACCGTCTTCAGTGATATTCAACACTCAAAATTAACACTTACGGCTGATAAAATCCGTATATTTTTTCATGACGGGTAGTTGACGTAATTGGCCTTAATTTGGCGGAATATAATAAACAGAGATGCTTTCGTAAAATACACTTTTACTTATTGTATCTAATAATAGAGCGCGTTTGTTTAATCAGATAATCCCTTTGTATTGATAAACACTACTATTTGTTTATAATATGTAATACTGCATGTAATACTACGTTTGACTAAACTGAACTCTCTTGTCAAGAGGATACGAATCATGAACCAGCATACGATTATTTTATTTCTGTAGTGTAGTACAGTGAATATGCTTCTTTTTCTACTTAAATACAGCAATTTTAACGATGAGATAGAAAATTTTATCGAGACTTAGCAGAGTCTAGTATTGGCTCATGTCCACTCGTCCGTTAACTTTTTAGAAATGTGGTAAGTAAAAGTGTATCGTTTATGTGATACTATTTTTTGCTACAATACAGTATGCATTACACATTATGTAGTAAAAGGGTTGGTGAACAATGCAGCTGGTAAAATGGCACCCAGTCTCTCATGAAAAATGCTGTAACGATAGTTTGACGTCTTAGAGAAGGCGCAGGTGAACAGAGATTGGCGGACAGTAGACGCATATGTGCATACAGTGTGCATACAGTGTGTTTATTATGCAGTGCAGATCTGTATAGGTTTACTCCTGTTTGTGCGATTGTAAAATCTAATCTAAATTACTAAATCATTTTAAATGAGCATCAAGTGTTTAGAGGACACATTTGATCTTTACAATATTCAAATCTTAGTCGTTCGTCCTAAAGTTGGCGCGAGTTTAGTAATATAATTCCGTAACTTTTTGGGTTTTTACTATAGATGATATTGTTAGAGGCGAAAAAACGCAGTGGGATCCTCCATGTTTATACTTGTGCCGCTAAGCCGGCACAACTCCCTTTCGGACAAATTGCAGCAGGGTGAACGCGAAATTCCGAAAGAGACAAAACGCGATTCATACTGGGCTTCACTTAAAGAACTCAGGAGATCGTATCGGCCTCAGAAGTTTTAAAAAATCTCAGATGTGGATGGGATAATTATTTTTTTAGAATTCTTAAAAAAACTAGTACGCTAACTCAGGTAACTGTGCTCAGCATCTAAAGGGCTTTCATCGCAGCCTGTAAACGCAGGAATATCCGGGCTGCTGCCTGTGAAGGATTCAAAATCAATGTTCCCCATAAATTCACCACTGCCAAGATGAACACCACCAACCCACACACTACTATCACGGATGGTACCAACAGCACCATTATAACAACCAGCAACATGAATAATTTCA